CACACACACACTCTCTCACACACACACTCACACACACACACACACACACACACCTTAAAGGGAATATTAGAAAAACTTTCTTAGAACATATTTTTGTTAGTTGGGTTAAGTAAATAACCAGCCTTTTTGACATATAGGCTATTTACACTAATTATATTAATAAATAATATCTAACGACTATTTACACATTGCAAAGAAAATATATAGTGTAAATATAATCTATTGCTATTTTCACTTAGTGTAAACAATGTATCTATAAAATACTTTCTATTGTCAGTTAGTGTAAACAGCATCTAAAATATGCTCCTTACATTGCAAACAGCCACTGTCTTCTATAAAGGTGTAAAACTATAGCATGCAAACTTTATATAGTGGTAATGGACTAACGAAACCCTAATTTTTAACAATTTACTAAACCAATACCGTACCAATGTTTTTATGGACTCTTGAACTTGCACAAATTATTACTGTTGGATTCATTTCATAACGCTGTTTCTCGCGGCCACGTAAACGATGCTTTAAAGCTAAAGATTTGGGCTTTGTACTAGAGTTAATGGACTAAAAATATTACTAATTTTAAAGAGCTTTTACTGCACCAGGCTTTGTAAATGACACTAAATTTGCATAGCCATATCAATGACTTGGCTAATGGTTTTAAAAAATTGGTAGTACAAAAAAAAAGCCGAAAATTAGAATTTCGTTAGACCATTACCTCTGTTATAGAGTCCTTAGTTTTAATGCATCCTCTATAAGGGAGCAGGAGCATTTCCGTTGTGCTGTGGCTTGTTTCCGTTGCGATTTCTTTGTGTTGTGGAGATTTTGTTGTGTTGTGCACTACTGGGCCACCATATTTCTGGGTTCCCGAAAGAACCTTCCAGTGAACAGTTCTTTTAAAAACAATCTTGGTGAAGGTTTTTAGGGAAGACATTTTTGGTTCTTCATGGAACCATTGATGATTTATAACGCCACTGCAATACAGTCATTTAGCTTTGTTTTCATGAAAATGTTCCCGTGCGAATATCGTCCTTCAATGTTCTGTAAGCAAAATGTACAGTAAGCGCTAATTTAGTTTTCTTCTGAATCCAAGGCGAAGTTTGACATGTTCCTGACGGGTTTCCCAGTTTTAGTAAATGCTACAATTTTGGCCCCGCCTCATTCTCTCACATGGCGCAATCTGATTGGTCATTTCTCTGTGTCGCCTGCTCTGCTCTCATAAGTCAGGCTTGTGTATAGAGAGCCAGACAGTGAGACGATCTCCACAGCATCTTCTCACAGTCACATACAGTAGTGGAATGAAGTTCAGTTGATCTCATTCACGTCGGCTGTCTCTGTACTTCTTCCTGTCATATCATGCAGCTTGAAGATTCACAAACAGGATGTTGTGGTCATGTTCTGCTGTATTCTGCCACCTCCTTTTTTTCTCTATCGCTCTGCAAAAGGCCAAACTCCAGCCTAACTCTGTGCTTTAAACTTCAACTCAGATTTAACTCAGACTCGCATCAAAATGAGCTCTGTCGAAGTGCGCCGTTCTGTCAATCAGAGCACCTTCAAGCTCATGTGTGGAGCCTGTTTGACGAGTCAGATGCTTTAAAGCGATAAAGCTGAATCTCTTGTCAATATTTACTCACCTGCCTGTTGTCTCAATCTGAAACACAAACTGAGAATTTTTGCACAGCTCTATTCCATAAAAGTATGACTTCTGCACAATATTATGTACAGTAGCATCATGCCAGGTTTGTTGTAATGACGCGCGTCGCCAGTTCGAATATGTGGAAGTGTGAATGAGATTTGAGAGCTGCCATTTTAGTGTGTTCCTCATTCAAATCCATCATATGACTTGAGATCATGACTGCTATGGTGTTTTTTTAATTCTGTGAAACACTCCAAACATCTCCCTTGGAGTTTCTCAGTGTATATGTGGGCTTGAAACAACATTTGCATAAGTGCAGCTCAAAATAAATCCAAGATCTACCACTAAGATGTGTGTGCACACAACAAAACCCATTATTTGATTACTGACAGTGAGCACCTGATCTGATTTCTTGATTCAGAGCGCATTTAGTGCATGCATTATGTCTTCTCATTAAGTATCAAGTATTTAACAAGGGATGTTCTCAAAACGTTGTGGCAAGGTTCTCTCAAAGTTATGAACAAACATTCGTGTGGTGACGTTTACAGAACATTTGTTCAAAGTTATCTGGTTTTCAAAACATTTGTACATCGTTCATGAAATGTTTCACTAGGATTTTTATTATTTGTTTTAAATTTCACTGCATATTTCAGAACATTCAGGAGTAACATCCCATAATATTTAGAAAATTATCAAATTAAACGTTCCTTCAATGTTTGCATAGACAAAAAAAACGTTTTATTAGGGTGTGCATCTAACGTTTTTTAAATGTTACTACTTGTTTCAGAACGCTCAGAAGAGAAGCACGCATACGTCTGCGAGACGACTGTTAAACATCGCTTCATCTGCTGTGTGCAAACATCTGACAGACGTCTCTAAGATGTCAGTTTTACATCATAAACATCTTAAAGACATCTTCTAAACGTCTATTTGACATCTGATAGGAAACGTCCTACAGACGTATTGCAGATGAGCAAACACTCTAAAAAATACGTCTAGCAGACGTGTCCGCGATGTACGTGAGCTGTCAGGGAGGGTTTCCATCATGTTTGCTAAACGTCTACATAATCTGCATGCTGTGAAATGGCTGAGACAGTGCAGACAGCGCATCTTCAGTCGGTCTCTGGTGCGGAAGTGGGCCGTGGGCAGGGCGCGCATATAAACTCACACGGACTTCCTCAAACTCACTTTGCATCGGAGCAGAGACGCACTCAGGTACTTTCGTTCTCTTCTCGCTTTGGTGTCTGTCCGCTCAGCGCGCGGTATTAAGTGAGGCGAGCAGCTAGCTGATGATGATGATTATGATGATGATGAGTTTTATTGCTCCTCAGATCTAAAGCAGCAGTCATGAGCTGGGACAGCTACATCAGCAGCCTGACCAAGAGCGAGTGGGTGGATGATGCGGTCATCCTCGGGTGCACAGCGGGTCAGGAGTCCGTCTGGGCTTCAGCACCGGGCGGCTGGCTGAACCAAGTCACGGTACGACATTTACAGTCATATAAAACTTACTTCGCCCTGCTTTCTTTCTTTAAATTGCGACGTATTTAGCCTTTTTTTGTTTTACTTGTTCCTTCTTCCTCGTGTGAAAATCAGGATGCGCTCGCGTTATAACGGAGCAGCCCCGTGAAGCCGCAAGCTCTCGGATAAGTTTAGTGAAAGTCGGCCGCTGTAGTTTCCATCAGCTTTATTCAGTTTATTCTGTTGAGTTTCCTCACAGCGCTCGAGCGCTCCTTATTTGGTCACGCGTGTTCGAAGGCGGAAGTGCGTTTCCCTCTCTCTCTCTCTCTCTCTCTCTCTCTCCCTCTCCCTCTCTCTCTCGCTCTCCATCTCTCTCTCTCTCTCTCTCTCTCTCTGTGTCTCTCTCTCTCTCTCTCTCTGTCTCTCTCTCTCTCTCTCTCTCTCTCTCTCTCCCTCTCCCTCTCTCTCTCGCTCTCCATCTCTCTCTCTCTCTCTCTCTCTCTCTGTGTCTCTCTCTCTCTCTCTCTCTGTCTCTCTCTCTCTCTCTCTCTCTCTCTCTCTCCCTCTCCCTCTCTCTCTCGCTCTCCATCTCTCTCTCTCTCTCTCTCTCTCTCTGTGTCTCTCTCTCTCTCTCTCTCTGTCTCTCTCTCTCTCTCTCTCTCTCTCTCTCTCCCTCTCCCTCTCTCTCTCGCTCTCCATCTCTCTCTCTCTCTCTCTCTCTCTCTGTGTCTCTCTCTCTCTCTCTCTCTGTCTCTCTCTCTCTCTCTCTCTCTCTCTCTCTCCCTCTCCCTCTCTCTCTCGCTCTCCATCTCTCTCTCTCTCTCTCTCTCTCTCTGTGTCTCTCTCTCTCTCTCTCTCTGTCTCTCTCTCTCTCTCTCTCTCTCTCTCTCTCCCTCTCCCTCTCTCTCTCGCTCTCCATCTCTCTCTCTCTCTCTCTCTCTCTCTGTGTCTCTCTCTCTCTCTCTCTCTGTCTCTCTCTCTCTCTCTCTCTCTCTCTCTCTCCCTCTCCCTCTCTCTCTCGCTCTCCATCTCTCTCTCTCTCTCTCTCTCTCTCTGTGTCTCTCTCTCTCTCTCTCTCTGTCTCTCTCTCTCTCTCTCTCTCTCTCTCTCTCCCTCTCCCTCTCTCTCTCGCTCTCCATCTCTCTCTCTCTCTCTCTCTCTCTCTGTGTCTCTCTCTCTCTCTCTCTCTGTCTCTCTCTCTCTCTCTCTCTCTCTCTCTCTCCCTCTCCCTCTCTCTCTCGCTCTCCATCTCTCTCTCTCTCTCTCTCTCTCTCTGTGTCTCTCTCTCTCTCTCTCTCTGTCTCTCTCTCTCTCTCTCTCTCTCTCTCTCTCCCTCTCCCTCTCTCTCTCGCTCTCCATCTCTCTCTCTCTCTCTCTCTCTCTCTGTGTCTCTCTCTCTCTCTCTCTCTGTCTCTCTCTCTCTCTCTCTCTCTCTCTCTCTCCCTCTCCCTCTCTCTCTCGCTCTCCATCTCTCTCTCTCTCTCTCTCTCTCTCTGTGTCTCTCTCTCTCTCTCTCTCTGTCTCTCTCTCTCTCTCTCTCTCTCTCTCTCTCCCTCTCCCTCTCTCTCTCGCTCTCCATCTCTCTCTCTCTCTCTCTCTCTCTCTGTGTCTCTCTCTCTCTCTCTCTCTGTCTCTCTCTCTCTCTCTCTCTCTCTCTCTCTCCCTCTCCCTCTCTCTCTCGCTCTCCATCTCTCTCTCTCTCTCTCTCTCTCTCTGTGTCTCTCTCTCTCTCTCTCTCTGTCTCTCTCTCTCTCTCTCTCTCTCTCTCTCTCCCTCTCCCTCTCTCTCTCGCTCTCCATCTCTCTCTCTCTCTCTCTCTCTCTCTGTGTCTCTCTCTCTCTCTCTCTCTGTCTCTCTCTCTCTCTCTCTCTCTCTCTCTCTCCCTCTCCCTCTCTCTCTCGCTCTCCATCTCTCTCTCTCTCTCTCTCTCTCTCTGTGTCTCTCTCTCTCTCTCTCTCTGTCTCTCTCTCTCTCTCTCTCTCTCTCTCTCTCCCTCTCCCTCTCTCTCTCGCTCTCCATCTCTCTCTCTCTCTCTCTCTCTCTCTGTGTCTCTCTCTCTCTCTCTCTCTGTCTCTCTCTCTCTCTCTCTCTCTCTCTCTCTCCCTCTCCCTCTCTCTCTCGCTCTCCATCTCTCTCTCTCTCTCTCTCTCTCTCTGTGTCTCTCTCTCTCTCTCTCTCTGTCTCTCTCTCTCTCTCTCTCTCTCTCTCTCTCCCTCTCCCTCTCTCTCTCGCTCTCCATCTCTCTCTCTCTCTCTCTCTCTCTCTGTGTCTCTCTCTCTCTCTCTCTCTGTCTCTCTCTCTCTCTCTCTCTCTCTCTCTCTCCCTCTCCCTCTCTCTCTCGCTCTCCATCTCTCTCTCTCTCTCTCTCTCTCTCTGTGTCTCTCTCTCTCTCTCTCTCTGTCTCTCTCTCTCTCTCTCTCTCTCTCTCTCTCCCTCTCCCTCTCTCTCTCGCTCTCCATCTCTCTCTCTCTCTCTCTCTCTCTCTGTGTCTCTCTCTCTCTCTCTCTCTGTCTCTCTCTCTCTCTCTCTCTCTCTCTCTCTCCCTCTCCCTCTCTCTCTCGCTCTCCATCTCTCTCTCTCTCTCTCTCTCTCTCTGTGTCTCTCTCTCTCTCTCTCTCTGTCTCTCTCTCTCTCTCTCTCTGTCTCTCCCTCTCTCTGTATCTCTCTCTCTCTCTCTCTCTCAATTCAATTCAGTTCAATTGGCTTTATTGGCATGACAAAAGCACATTTTGCATTGCCAAAGCATGCATAGGAAAAGGTCATTTGGAACAATATAACAATTGAAATAACATTTGAACAAGTAATATTGAAAGAATGACATTAAAACATATGGATACATATAAACATATATGATATAGTAAAGCTTATGTAACAGCTCTCTCTCTCTCTCTCATGCGGAAACGAGGCAGGTTTTAATGTCAGATGAGTATATTATATTATGTGTATATTAGCGATTAAATATTTAGCATAAGTATGAGAGGCCTCCGCCTTGAGTGAACTAACGCTAGCGTCTGTGTGTCTAATATAAAGCAACATTCAGTTTAGACCGCGGATTATTTCAACACTGTACTTCCTGTCTCAGGTTCCTCTCACTTTCATTCTGACACTATATATATATATAATTGAAGTGAAATCCCTAGATATGCGTAAATGCATTTATAATAAATTTATTTCATGCTAAGTATATATTTATGTACTTAATAAAAATACCCTGCAATTGTGCTTTTGATATATTGAACTGGTATACTTAAACTCTGCTAAATTGGAACAACTAATTTAGTACTTAATGCACTTTAATTGTGCGGAAGCAGTCCAACTGATTGTGTTAAAGTGGAACTATTGCAAACATAGGCTGCTTCAGGTACACTTTAAACATCTTGCATTTCAAGACTGATGTTATTCAAAGATCATACAGTCTTCATCGATAGTGATTTAAAACACATTTTTAACTGAATATTAGGAAATGTGCATTTTGCACAAGTAGTAATCCATATAATGTTTCATTATAATTTTTATATCAGTAAGTCTCCAGCGACTGAATATGTTAATAGATTCAAACTATACTTAGTATGAAATAAATGTATTTTACATATACTACTTTTTTACTAGGGATGCCTCAAGATAAAT